GTCACTCACTCTCTCATTCCTTCCATCCTTCAGGCAGTCAGTCATTCAGTCATTCAGTCGTTCAGACGCTCATTGCGGCATAGTGTGCGCTGTTGAAAATTAACAATTACGCACCGCAAAAGGAGGCGGCGGTAGTGGAAGTCCCGTGTTGCGGGTTATAAAAATAAACTATGCCGCAGGCATTACAGCGGAAACGGAAGTGCGCATTAAAATTGTGCTCGGCTGGCATGTGTGTGCCTCTCCGTTTATGTGTGTGCATGAGTGTGTGTATGGACCCGCAATTAGCAACTCACACGTGCACACACAGTTATGTGTGTGAGTAATTAAAACGGAGTGTGCGCATTTAATAAGTTAAGCGTTAGCTCACCAAAACTGAATCATGCACTGGACGGCTGAATAAGATTTTGAAATCTGTATTTGTTTTAAATATTTGACATATTTTTTAATCGGTTTAACAATAGATATAAGCTGTACAGCTGTGCTTCCTATTCAATAAAGAATGTAGAACCATATTGCATACTTTTAGGTGTCCTTTTTTAATAGCCTGATATATAACCGTAGATAAACTTTTAATAAAAATATTAATATTAAACTAATAATTATTAACTTGAATTGAAATCACGTTTTTCATAGTGTAAAGTTCCGCTCAAACATTACTGGGCTGTCAGAAACACATAGTTGGTCTCCGATTTTGTATGCCCATTTGTCTGTAAAATCGGTTTCGTGTATAAATCAGGTGGTGCCAAACTTTATGTCGTCCGATAAGGGGGACTTTACACCTAAAGGATTATGGGACCCGAAAATTTACAACGAATTGGGTCGCAATAAATATTTAAAGTGTAATAGCTGGGAAAATAAAAGAATAAAGTTGCAGCCAGCCAGTCGGGCAGGCTGAAACTTTAACTAGCTGCCTTCTTGCGATGCCGTGGTAATGTGCCCATTTTTATTTTTACCATTAGAATACTTCCCCTCAAAACAGCGCATAACTGGCAGCGCTTTTTTTTTTTTTTATTTTTTTTTTTGGCTGACCTTCCTTCAACACGGCGTATGCGCAACTTCCGGCAGAAATATTGCATAAATGCTAAACTACAGAAGCCTGCATGGCCATAATGGAAAAATAAGCAATTAAATTACGTTGGCCAGCACCTTTATTTATATGCTGCATCGCCTCAGGCCAGCCGCAAAAATAACAACGCCAGTGCTAAGTAGAAAATTTCCATTAAAATGGAATTATGTGCGTCAAAACTGAATTTGCATTATTTAGCGAATGCATTTTATTCGCTCATTGTTATGCACCCCTGACAAAATGGCTGCCATTGCAATCGCTAAATTGTTAATTACATGGAATCTACGCGGCCAAATTGCATAGGAATTTTCCAATTGGTTTCGCATCCGCACGCACAGCTCAATGCGATAAATTTAAATAAATACCCACACGGACCTAACTCCGATCCGTTTAGCTTGTCAATAGAACAGCAACGAATCGAGGCTTACGACATCAAAAAAAAGAAAAACAGGAAAAAAACAGTAATTGGCATATGTATATAGATACATCCGATGTTTGAAGCTGCACTCGATGGTGCTGCGTGTTCGGGGCAATTTGTCTCTCAGCTGATTTTGTTGATTCACGCTACATTGTCATGATTTCATTTAGCCTGTAAACAAATGGCCAAACAAAAGTCCTACACTGTGATTTCAGATTGGTACAACAAAAGTGGCTAAATATTTGTGTGTTCAAAGGAAGGGAATGCGAAGGGAATGAACCCATACTGTAATTAAGTGGGTTCAACTGATTACATTTTCAAAATGGCCATTCAGATCCAACAATAAAGTTCACTTTAAATTCGTTTAGAGGTAGGCAGCACAATGTGAATTTAATTAGATAATAAATTAACTTTAATTCATTTTTGAAAAAATTTATATAAATAAACTGTCATAAAGGTTTTTCATTATCTAACATATTTAAAGCGAAATAAAAAGAGTTTTCTGGCTTTTCATTTAATACCCATCTGTGGAATCTATTAAAGAGAAAATATATTTTAAATGCTTAAACAAATTGTGAAACCGAATTAACCAATAATGAAGAGGTTAATAAAGTCAAAGCTGAATAGAAAATAGCCAATTCAGCATTTTTTGATTTGTTTGCTCATCTTTACTGCTGACTTTCAAGAGTGTTTGTTCCTTCCGGTTGACTTACGTATATTTTGTGTAATTTATATAGACTTGCCCCTAGAAGTTGTCTTGAAATTAATGTCTGTCCTTGAATTTTTCATAAACTGCCAATTCAACAGAAAGTTAGTGGACACACGAGCATAGAGCACACTGAAACAGACAGGGGAAAGCGCGAAAAGTTGGTGGAAAAGTTCATTCGGCGAGAGTGAGCGGTGAATTTTTTTAGGAAGCATCTTAATCAGCAGTAAATTCAGAACTAATCAGTGACCCTATTGTTTGGACCTTCTAACTGACTCTCAATGGAAGTGTCTGCTCACATATTCGAGCCCGGGCCAACTTATTGCAACATAATTACAACTTGCAAGAGCGGTGGTGCATAATAAGTTCGTACTCCGTGGCGATTGACTGATGCAGGAAGGTGAAAGTAAGAAATAAAAAGGGTTTTACCAGAGGGTAAAAATCATAAAAAAATAACATAACCATTTTATATGGTTTAGTATTGCAGAAACTTTACAGTTGCAGGCAGGGAATAAATTACTACATTTTGTGGTAGGAAGGTACAGTTTAAAAAACAATCTTAAATAGTTTTCTTATAAAGGGTTAAGGGCTTTCATTATAAGTATATATATACACATATATATACATATATATATACATACATACATATATTATAACCATTAAGTTTCTTAGAGTCAAAAGCCACAACTTTCTACCACTCAAAACGTCATTAATATTTATTCCATTTTGGCTAATCTGTTCATTTTATCTTCGTAAACTCTTTAAGATTTTCGAGATTTTCTTTGAGTTTTCCACTTCTCCCCCTTTGACCACAATTCAATTATAATTTTCTCTTAGTCTCTGCAGCTAACCGAATTAAGTCTAATTATTTCCTAAACTGTATTATCTCCCGCAATAATTGTGTTTGAATGCAAATTAAATTGCAAATATTTGAAATTTCTTTGCTCATCTCTAGCCGAGATTCTCCTTCGTTGTCTGGAGCAGCGCATTGAACTTACTTTTAATTATGCTGGCCACATGGACACGGACATTGTTTGCGCTTTGCTTGGCTCTTGGCTTAATAAATTGCAATTGTTTGCAAGCCAAACTTTGCTCTTCCCTGTGTTGGCCCAGTTCTGTTTGGTTCCCTGGCTGTGTGGATTTTGTAATTGGTTTGGTCTGCATTTGACAAAAGGAATGAAATAAAAGAGTCCGAATAACAGCAAACCAAAAACAGAAAAAAACTGGATTTGAGCGCAAGAAAGTTTAGCATTATGGCCAGCGACGGGCGGCAAACAAAGTTTTCGCAAACATTCAGTCGCAGGGAGACCACGTTTATTTTTTGTTCGTGTGCGGTTAACGAAGCAAATAGAAAAATGTTGCAAATGTTGTCGAGCGGCCCGAACCAAAGTCAAATATTTGGCCAAAGTTCCATAAACCAAATGGCCAGACAGTCAGAAGTTAGGATAAACTCTCTTTCCCTCTTTCAGATTTCACCATTTAATAAGCAATTGTTCTACATCCAAGACAAGTTGATTAAAATGCCAAAAGCCAGTCCAAAAATGAAAGAGAAACTATTTGAATATGCGAACCCTTCTGAAAATTGTCCAAATTATAGGAAAATAACGATATGCTGGTCACTGATATGCAACAGACACGCTGCCAGACAAAGTAAACAAACAAAACTGGACATGAGTGCATCCAGCCAGGGTGAAAGGTCTTCTCAAAAGCAGATAGCAAACCGAAGGGCCGGGATGCAGGACGACCGGAGGATCCAGGGCCACATGTTATTGTTTTCATTTGTTTTCTCATGCCAGCGCAAACTTTACACTTAAAAATAAATTATTTCATAAATTCAATTAAAATTTAAAAAATGTATTTTCTTATTTAAGAAACAGTTACAACAAGAAGAAAGCCATTGGCTAGCTATTAAAGAATAATTTGACATATTTCCAAAGCTTATTTAGTAACTCATTTTCTATATGTACTCCCACAAAACTGGCTCACTTGGCTAGCGAAAATATTTGGTTAGAAGACGAGGCAGCAGAAAAAAGAAGAAATAAAAGGAAACAAAGAAAGCTAAACAAATGCTGACTCGGCAACCGCAAGTAATAGGCCAAGTCTGTACTGGAGTCGAGGTAACAAATAATAACCGAGCACTTTCCTCTTCCGCCCGGCACTTCTTTTTGCCTTATTCCTGTCGGACTGGACATGGAATTGTTTAAATTATTTACACAAGCTGGAAAATTAAAATGGACAGCTGCTGTTCGGGGGCAGAAAACAGAAAGCTGAAAACAGAAAACAGTGGAGTAGCAGTCATTGTTATGACTGTTGCAACTGCTTGGGTCAAGTGTTGTGTATTGTGGCACGTACTGTACATGGGTGTGGATTTTGTAGAGTGGACTGAACTGAACTGGACTGGACCAGTAACTGCCCGAGCTGTAGTTCATAACTTTTCATTTTTGGCCCCTCTGTGGCATTACTTCACTCTCTGTCTTTCGAGACTTATCCTTTGTGGCAGGCAAATTTTAATTATTACCAGGCATCCGGGAAAAGGTCCGCTTCTGAATCTGTTACTAAGTCTTTGTCTGAGTTTTATGAGTTTGATTGTTCTCCTGTCCGACAGCAGGCATTGCGTATGCGTAATGCGTGCGTCTGTATCTAATTGAAAAAATCAAGCATACGCCATGTTGTCCCATTGTTTTTGACGAAACAAGTTGGCAATCGGATGGCCATAACACACAGCTGTTGCTACTACAGTTGCTACACTTCTTTTGACCAACAAAGAGTGTTGAGAGCCTATGAAGAAACGAATGAAACGAATAGTACACTGCGGAGCAAATCAGTCAGTTTCTAACTGTGAACAAATGTGTAATTAATTTCCCTATCTTGATTTCTTAATTCACAACAAAAACTTTATATAGTAAAATAATCATAAATTTCCTTAGGAGCATCAGGAAATTTCTCATGAAACACCTTCTCGATAATATAATATTTGGCATAAATACCACCGCCTGGTGGAAGATTTGGAATATTATTGGCCATTCTGTTCATCAGACGAATAAGGGATTCAAAATCATGGATTTCATGCTTTTCAAGGACTTCTTTCGCTATTTGGGCAATATTTTGATCGAGAACTCGCTCGGCTTTTATGGCATCCATATCGATTGCGGGTGCATTAGGCAAAAGTACGAGGAGCAGGGTCATATTATCCTTGCTGCTCTTGTGCAGGCAAATGTCTAGAACACTGTTGACAATCAAAGGTAGATCATTGGTTACCAAGAGACGCGAACGAATAAATTGACAGACATCTGTGGTACTCATCACATCCCAAACTCCATCGCAGGCCAGTACTATGAATTCGTCCTTTTCGGTACGTTTGCGAACTATAATATCTGGTTCTGGGGAGACCATCTGAGATGCAGGCATCCTGGTCATGTTATTTTTGAACTCATAATCTCCTAATGCCCGGGAAACTGCTAAAGTGCCATTAACTCTATTAATCATAACACTCCCACCGGCATTTTGAATGCGTTCTCTTTCTTTGGGAGAAAATGGCTTGTGATCCGTAGTGCTGGTAAGACCTCCTCCATTTCGCGCTATAACACCACGCGAGTCTCCACAATTGACCAATAATATTTTTTCCGGCGAGATGAAGGCACATACGGCCGTCGAACCACCTGGCTGGTCCTGATAGTCCTTCCTCATGTCCTCATCCAACTGCAAAAAACCTTCTCGTATCCCAGCTTCATATTTTTGCATTGCAAAATCTTCGCTTTCTAGTATGGTGTTAAGCAAGTTCCCTGCACAATATTGTGATATATGATTACCAGCATGACCATCGAATACTCCAAAATACGACCACAGATTGAAGGGTTCTTTTATACTGCAAACAGCTGTGTGGGCATCTTCCATTTCCAGGCGCCAGCCTTGCATAGAACATATGCAATATCGCAGATCGTTTCCGGAACCCTCTTCAACATGCTTTTCAGTTTCCGGTTTTTCCAAAAAGCCACCCATTTTATTGCCTTAAAGGCGATCTTTTAAAAGCACTCTAAATTTGTATTAATATTTCCGAGCTTTATTTTTATCATTTATGTTTACCAGTTGAAGTTTTAGACAGAAGCTCCTTTAAGCAAAAGAAACGTACAATATTTGTTCAGTGTAGGCAAAATTTTTGTTTTCTAGAGCATCTAACTTTAGTCCAGGCGACTGGAAGTTATTGCTTTTGCACATTTCAGGAGTCTTTGGCGAGGCTCAATTAATCGATGACAATTCAATTAGCATCAAGTCCATAAACACACAATGGATCCCCTTATTCACTCATGGCTCAGACTCGAGGATGACTTCCATTTGGAGTACCCCAAAAACTTTCGATTACAGGCATCCTTCGAAGCTGAACTACCGAATAAGTGAAGAGCTTGGTGTGGGAATTGAATGGCCATAAGAAAAGTTTACCGTTTAATTGGACAGGCAAATAGGCAGCAGGGAGCGTTACCGACTCGTTGAGAGTCTAAATGTCAGTTAGTTCGTTCCCCCGACACTGCCACTACACCGCTCCAAGTCGAGTCGGTCGCATTCTGGCGAACAATGAGCTAAATTTTCCATGGAAAACTACTAAGTAAGCTTGTTAATTAAATACGCATTACCGCCCCTGTAATTGCCTGTGACGCGCTGCTTAGCAACAACTACACCTAGCTCTACTAATGAAATCGGGTGGCAAAAGGTGAGGAATGGGCTGAAACTCGTTCCGAATTGGATGGGGGAGGACACAAACTAATTGTTAAAGTCAAGTGCAAAGTTTCAGCGCCCTAACCATCTCAGTTTCTGTCCCAGATTTTCCCCTTGCACTCGTCAATGTGTCGTGGCAAGGCAGGCATAAAATGATATGGGTGCTACGAATCTACTTAAAGCAAACATCCCGCTAAAAGTGATTAAAAATTTGTTTGTTATTATGAAATTTATACTCTATTTTAAAGTTTGACTATAAAGTCAGAGTTTCTAAGTCTCTATAAATCTAAATTAAACTCTACAAGATCATAGTTATAGCTAGACTACTATATCTTTAATTAGCAAATGTCGCAAAGACATATTACCAGCTTAAGGAGAGCGGAAAAGTAATTTTAAAACCAAATATGGACTTAATGATCCTTGCAAATCACGCGACTTGGGAACGACAGCCGTCAATTAATTAGCGCATAATTCATTCCCACCGAAATGCATGCCGAGTGACCTATTTGGACACACACACAAATGAACAAACGAACGTAGAAATCATCAATCATGGCCATCCAGAAATGAGTTGCGGAATGCATCAAGCTCAGACTAAATGCACAGAGGAAAAAACAAAAAAGGTTAATGGGTTGAAATATCAACATCAACATCAACTTGGGTCGTCAACGTCGACGTCTGCATCGCTGCTTATTGTTTGCATTGTTTTCCTGCGGGCAAAAACCCCCAAACGAAGGTGGACAAAAACAGGGCTCACTAAGGGGCTAAAATATGCGCACACCGCAGGTAAATGTTGGTAATTTGTGACTTGGAATGTTTTTTCATCGTCTACCTTTGAGGTTACTGCAAAGTTTTATGGCAGCGACCTCTTCTAACACGACACTCGCCCATTTAACGCTTTATGGCATCGGATTTATGCTATGCGATATGCAAAAAGGCAATTGCATGCAAAGCAGCGGAATTTGCCACAGGAAACTGAAATAAAACTGGGCGGCAATATTGAATTGGCTTGCGGACAATGAAATCAAGTCGCCTTTTTCTCGTTAGTACCGAACAATGTTGGGAAAATGCTAAGAGAATCGAATTATGGTCTTAAAAGTGTTCGCCAATGAGCTTAATGGATCTGCAGATATTTAAACCTCACAACCTATTTATCATCAGCGTTTTCATGAATTTAATATGAATTTTATAATGATCCAGACTTTAAAATCATCTTAAGGTCTTTTATTTGGAACCACTTATAAGTTTATTTTATCCCAACTTTACGTTAAATACAATTATATTTAAATTCTCTTCTGATTAACCCTTCTATAGAACTTTAATCTATTTCCATTTGCACTACAACTGCACTAAATTGGATACAATGAACTACAGGTTATTTTCACATTAATTTACAAAGCTGATCTGGCCAAAGTTCATCTGAGTTGAAACACTCAATTAAAGCCAACAAATTATCCACTTTTAGTTAGTTTTATCTGAGCGCTTCAGTTTAGTGGAGAGTTAAATCATATCTGGCTCTATTGTCCAACCCGATGCTTGTTTTTCCTCCTCCCCCTCTCATTGAGTTTTAAGCATCCTCCCACCCAGTACCATTCCCACTCTTTTTTTCCCCAACTCGGGTGTCCTTAAGCTGGACGGAGCAGAGCTGTGCTTTTATTTACCCCTTTGGCTTTTGCTTTGGCTTATACAAGTGTGGCTCTTTTTCCCCCACCTGCAATCGACCTGCATGTTATTCATGGCTAAACACACACCTGCCCACCCACCTGCACACCTCAGTCGACCTCAAACCGCGACCCCCGTACCGTTCGGCCCCTGACCCCTGCGCCATCTAACTGCCAACTGCCAGACCAACAATTTTCTAAACTCGCGCGCTGCGCACGTAATAAAAAATACGCCAACTTGGGGAAGGTTGTTCAGGGGGTGGCAAATGGTCGGTGGTGGGCTGTGGGCGGAGGCTGACTGGCGCGCTAAGCTGTGCTAAACATTCCCTAAATATATTTTGCAACAGCTCCTCCACACACGAGATAAGCGGCGCACATACCACACCGACCTGAACCTGAACATGAAGATAGTGCAGGTGGATAATGTGAGGGGTATACATAGAGGAGATGCTGGAAAATGGGGTGGAAAATGGGCGAGGGAAAAGCGGATGGAAAATGGAGAGAGGGCAGGGGACTTTCGGGCACTAAGAGAGCGCTCAGAGAACACCGAGCACCGAGCAATGAAACTTTTTGCGCCTGAATATTTTTGCAAAACTATTCACAGTTGATTTTTCACCTGATGCTTTTCATCCTTGTGCCCCTGCAAGTGTGTCTGTGTGTGTGTGTGTGTATATATGCCTGCATCTGTATGGGTAAGTGCACCTGCCGCCGAGTCTTTGTGTGAGTGCTTAAAATATTTGAGCGGCATGCACACGGGCATGGTGGAGTCGCCCCAAAAATATCCAACTATCTGGCCAGCAGTATTCTGGCCTCCTTTTGGGCCCAACTTAAATGTACTGCCAGGGCAGTTGAATTTTTCCGATAGGTTTTGCCATTTTTCAAGAGGTTTTCCCTCAGTCGGAATTTTCAGATTTACTTGTAATTAATCTTCTTCGAAATCCAAAAGAATTTAACCAGGAAAATACCCAAGATAATTTAGTTTAAAAAGAGAATAGAAGGAATTTGTTGAGTTAGAATGGAAAATTTAGGATTTTCATAGGACCTCTTTGTGTCGCATGTAATTTAAAATTTTAGTTTCTTTAAAGAATTTTTCAAAATTTAATTTTTATGAAAATTTGGTTAATTAAAAACCAAGTCCTTGTAGTTTGTTTTAACATGAAAAATAATGTTTGTTATTATTGAGTTCTTGAAACGATTTACCATTTAGCATTTCCATATATAATATAAAAATACGAATCTTTTTTGGCGCTCCATGCAACTGAACCGCTCCTGCTTAAAGCCATCTGCATGCATGTACGCCTTCGCGCGCTTATACGTACATCTCATTATAAAAACGACTTTAAGCTCAACAAACCGTGTGCAATTGCAGATACGGTCTTCTGGGTGCCTCTGGATGCGGGAAAACAACGCTGCTCAGCTGCATCGTTGGACGACGTCGCCTAAATTCTGGCGAGATTTGGGTGCTCGGCGGACGACCTGGATCGCGTGGTTCCGGTGTTCCTGGTCCCCGGATTGGCTATATGCCACAGGTGAGTTGACCCAAACGAAAAACAGAGCCTTTTCTGCCTTCCACTTTCCACTTTTCACCGGCCAACTTGTGAATTTTTCATGTGCTTTTTATTACCCCTTGCCAGAGGCGACTAAATTAAATAAACGCAATAAAATGGTGAAAGCCCAAAAGAAAACATATACCCAAACTCTTAAATGCCCCACTCACACAAAGGGGCGAGAAAACTTTTAATTTTCACAATCCAGAAGAATAACTCAACTCCACTGCAGTTCGTTATGTCTTAACAACAGAGGTGGCAATTTTAAATTCAAATTATTTGCTTTTTTTAGATGTACAAAAACTTCAATCATAAACTTGTACAGTTTTATTTAGTTATGACACCTTGGAAGCTTAGATAATTAAATTGCATAGAAAATATAAAAAACAGATCGGTTTTTTTAGGGGTTTTCTGTTTAGCTGTTCTTATGATTTTGTCATATATTTTGCTCAGAAAAAGCCAAATTGCCATCTTTCATTGAAGTTTGCTGAGGAAAGGGGAGTCGTAAAACATCGTAGCCGTAGAATGAGCTCGATTTTTTAGTGGAGATGTTTTTTTGCCGGAGAGAAAAAATAACACCCGTTTTCCACTTTCGGTTTATTGCAGGAGATAGCCCTTTACGGCGAGTTCACGATGCGTGAGACCTTAATCTACTTCGGCATCATTTCGGCCATGCCCAAAAGCGACATCGCGGATCGCACAGAATTCCTGCTCAAATTGCTCAATTTGCCAAATGCTTCCAAATTTGTCAAGAATTTGAGTGGTGGCCAGCAGCGGCGAGTAAGTCTGGCGGTGGCCCTTCTCCATGAACCGGAGCTCCTCATCCTGGACGAGCCCACAGTGGGTGTGGATCCCGTTTTGCGACAAAGGTAAATCCGAGAAACAAATCTTTACTAAACAGGAAAAGTTTATTCCACGGTCATTGAATTATTCAAAAAGAAAATAATATTTTAAAACAGTAAAAAAATGTGAAAATGTTTATAAGCAATGGACCATTTTTCTGATACAAAGATAAAAGACTGATTTTCCTGATACTTTTCCGTCTGTGCACTTGTATATGACAACTTATTAACTCTTCATCTTGTTGATTACAGCATCTGGGATCATTTGGTGGACATTACGAAAAATGGTCACACGACTGTGATAATCACCACGCATTACATCGACGAGTGTGCCCAGGCGCATATGGTAAGTAGCCGGAAGATTACCGGGAAAGTGATAAGAGGGTTGCACAAGGGGCTTTCAGTGTTAAGGGAGGGGCCGTATAGCAGGCAAGTGTCAATGGCTCTGGGCGCCCACGCATTGTTCATCCCGGGTGATTTATGGCCAGACGGCACATCCATGTGTAATATGCGGCGTATGAGCAATATTATGCTGCCACTGCCAAGGTGAAAGTTCAGCTATCAGCTCCGCCGAGTGCTGTCAACATGCGGCGCTAAGTGCTTCCGCCTGCCCCTTGGCAAATTTGTATCCTGCGAGCTGCAACAAATCCGTGTCCTGTCCAAAAACGAACAAAAAAGAGGAAAGGCGAGGAGTAGAATATTACTGGCAGCTTTCGCCTCTGTTGACCCACGGCCATGGCCACGATTTACGAGGCATTTCCGAGCGAGACACATTGCAAAAATTTACTTCAGATTTATTTATGCCACCAGCGAAACAGATGAGATCTGTATAGGGAAATATAACTGGGCTAGTCATTTAATGCGTGCAGCAAACAATGAACTCTGCCGTTTCCAGGCTAGAAAAAAAAAAGGAAGAACCAAAGAATAAATCGTGACAAAGCTCGCAAACAAACGCCCATCACAATGGACAGTTGGATAGACAGATAGATACACGGCCAAAGCGACAGGCTGAGATACGGATACTTGGCAACACGCACAGGATATGCACACATAAAACAAACAGCAGAATCCTTACCCAGGAACACACACGCAATCTCAAGTGGAGTGTGAGATGGTTGAATATATCAATGACAACACTCTGGAAAAGATTGATGTCGAGAGCGGCGAAGAAAGTGTGAATTGGGCCGGAGATCGACACTCGAGACACTCTACAAGGAAGCCCGTTTAATGTGATTGATTGGGTGCAAGAAAGTATTCATCAAAACGGTTGACTTTAAGGAGTATTTATTATTACAAAATATTTCATTTCATGTATCTCTTTCTTATTATAGTGCAATTTGTTAGGGCTTAAAAGGTTCCCCAATCTAAGATATCCTTACAAATGATATTTTCTCCAAATCGATGGTCAAAATTACAAAAATCGAGTTCGGGAACGAAACTTTTCAATATATTGATTCCTCATATTCGTATGATTGATTGAGCAGCAGGAAATATTAATCAACTGCATTTAAAGAAATATATTTTACTAAATCAATTTATAAGCCCCAAAAACCCTCTTTATTCAAGCATAATTCATATTAAAGTCTTTTGGGTCGCATTCCCGTAATACAGAAACTATCAACCAGGACTCCGGCTTGATCCCTCTAACCCTACTTGACCCCCAAGGATATTCACGGTGTTAAACGGCTCACATGCTGTGCCGCTGCCAACAATTGACAAACACGTTTTCGCCACCTCCGAAACCCCATCAAACCGACAAAACCCTTTGGAAATTTATACCACCCCACGTGATCTGCCGGATGGGAATCCGTTGTCATGCCGCCATGCCGCCAAAAGTCATTGCGGTAAAGAGTTATGGCCAATAAACAAAATCACTGGCAGGAATAGAAAAGTCGCCTTTGTTTGCGGGCAATCGACATTCAGCATTTGGCACTTCGGGAATCGCCCTGGGATTGGGTGTCAAGCAGAACAACAATCGACTGAGTCGCAGTCACAGTGCTAGTCTATAAAACATGGCACCAGGATCGAAAACGAGCCATCCTGGCCAAGTTAATCCAAGCGTCAGGCGTTGAAATGTGAATTTAATGCGAATTGTTAGACCAAATTTATGGTTTATGGGTTCTATAAAAAACCAACTTGCGGAAGAAGTTCCCATCCTATGTCCTTATATGCAAAGCCCATGGGACCAGGACTAGGACTAGGACCACGACCACATCAAGCGGAATGAGAAGTTGTTGTGTCTGTGTAACTTCTGGTGACAGTGTTTAATTGCTCATATTGAACACGTGTTGGCCTCGCAGCTGAGCTCAAATGGAACAGCAAGCAGGGTCTCAGCTTAGATTGTGCACGCCTCAGCTGGCTGATAGTACACAGTGAGAAAATGATGAATAATCTTAAAATGATGAAAGAATACCAACTTAAAAAGTAATTAATTTAAAAACTATCAATTAAAAGTGGTTATTTGACATATGAAATTTCTTATTGTCATGAATAGTATACACCAAAAGACAGAAATATTTGTCATTTCATTAGAATTTGTTTTCAGTGTATGAGTATTATGGCCGGCAGCAAATTGCTTTTTCAGCTTTGTCACTTTTTCGTGGCACGCTTTGGTTTCGGCCAGCTCAAGTCGAGTCCCCAGGACAGCAGAGAAGGAATCTTCAGTTCGACTTGGCAAAAGGTAGTTATCTGCACATATTTTTCGCCAATTCTGCACGTCACGAGGAGTTCACCGTAGAGTTTTTCTGCTGGATTTCCTTGTGTATTCTGTGCGTTTTTCTTCCTGCCTTTTGTTTTGGGCACTTTTTTCTGTTGAGTCAACAGAATTGCGTGTCCAAAATGGGATTCCCTCGGCCCATATCTGCTAAATTCGAGCTCAATGCAGCACAGACAGACAGATACACAGGCCAACACAGACAGACGGACATAAATTTAACTACCCTTGGAGCCTGATTGAGTAAGCCACTCCAATTGGCACCTACATGGCACTTGATCTATTTCCCGCACCACCTCAAAAAGCTGGGGCATTAAAGTGATTATTGCATGCTGGCAATTTATAAGCTGAAAATTCATGTGGCAATAAAAAGAAATATACGCAGCATGGCGGCAAAAACAGCTATTAGTTTTTTCTGATTCTACTGCTGGTGCAGAGGATGCACTCAAACAAAAGCAGGAGCATTAAACATAATCGTAAAATGCATTTACGACTGCATCCCAGAGTGTTGTTAAAACTTTGCCGTGCTTAAATTCGGTTATTGCTATTTGTATGGTGCAGCGATTAAAAGTTTTATTTTAATTGAAAAATATTTATGGACATTAAAAATTTGTACGTGTCTGCCGGTATGTGATTGAGAGTATTCGGCACACACACTCGTTAGCAACATATGCCATTTTCTACGGCCATCGTCTTCACAATGGACCAGAAATTTTGATGCGATTATCAAAGTTTAATGTGCGAAAATAAAGATATTAAATATAGGCTTATTTATTACAATAATATACAGTACTGCAACGTTGAGATGTTTTCATTTCGTTTGGTAAATTGAAGAGCAGTGAGCTTACATGGAGCTGGGAAAGTAGGCCACAGAGGGATTTTGTTATTCTGGTAAATGCAACTTTGCTCTTTGATGCTTTTGAACTATCTGTTGTGGAAAAATAAAAATGTATAACAATAACAGCTTAGCATTGTGAAGTACTTTTTTCTTTAGTTTAAATAATCTTTTAAATCGCTTTTAACTTTATATCAAAACAGTTTATACAAGTTATATGTCAAAAAGTTTCGAAGTAAATTTAAAGATTTTAAATTCTTAATATATTTGTATTTCTTAAAAATTAAAAAAAATTTGACTTTCTGATTTGTTTAAACAAAAAATGTTACACCTACGATGACAGTACGACCCACATCAAAGTTCGCGGTGTGGTTATAAGCCTTATACCAGTCCACCGCCTACTCATCCTTTCAACCTTTCCACCCACCTCCAGACCACGAGGTCAACCAACTCGGCCCACACAACAGAATCTCAAATGGTTTCCAGTCTCTCGCTCCTAACAAAGTGCAGCGCTTCACTTTTTTTGACAGACATTGCTCCCTAAATTTAATGTCAGCAGGGCTGCCTTTGCCTTTGGCTCAGGGGAAATTGTTGGTTTGCCAAAAAAAAAAGGAAAAAGCAAAATAAAAGCGTTGGGAAAAAAGGAAAAGTAGCCGTAAAACAAAAAAAGAGGAAAACCAGGACAAAAAATAGAGGGAATCGCGTATACGCCACATGGCCGCACAGCGAAGACAGAGGGGCGTGTCTTCGCCTCCAACTGTCCCCAGTTGTACATGCAGCACTTTCTGCTCTAATAAATGAAATCAGGGAGCGTAACATTATGTGATGGATATATTGTTACGAGTACTCTACTCCAGCATTTACTGGCTGGGGGAACCCCCGAATTCCCTCCTGGGCGCGCCTTTAATAGTTGATATTGTTGCATTTCCTCTTGTATTGCTGCCGTTTTTCCCATTTTTTTATCCTTATTGTTTGTCGCGTAATTTTCCGCATGTTGCCTTCGAGCAGCCAACAGAAAAAGGAAAAATATACAAAGAAAAAAACGACTCTGCCGAAATGCAAATGGACAGTTGAATAATTGCTAAAGCTGATGAGTGACAGGAGATACACAATAACCAAGAAAAAATAACATTACCAACTGGTTTTCCACTGGCTGATGAAGTGCTGATATGTTTCAACCACTTTGATTGCCACTTTAATGCTACGTTGCACGCGGCCTGTTATTAAGCATTAAGCTGCCAGAATTGTATCATAAAAAAGAGAAGTTATTTTAAATTCACATATAGTTTGTACTCACGGATTAAATCGACAATTTAAAAGGATTTTAAGGTGCTTAATAAGCAGAAAGAAGTGGAGGAGAGTTCAGGTATCTATTGATAAACAATGTTTTAAAAATGAATTTTTAATCCTTTAACTTAAACTCTGATTAATTTTGGTATTCCACAAAGTCAATATGTCTTAAAATGTGAAAACTCAGAATGATATAGGTGAAGACTATTATCTTATAGCTGCATATATTATCTTATAAAAACTGAACGCTAATGAAATGCCTCAAGAATTCTTATGTAAAAACACATAGCCAATGTAAATTTTCGGAATTTTAGATGAACATCGAAGATTTATTCGGCTAGCACCGCTAGCATACATAGGTTTTCTAGAATAAATTTCAACTTCGCCCACTTCGCAGTTAAGGCAACCTACGAACCCAGCCATAAATATCATGTGCATTTTTCAATTTCCTCTGCGTGTTGGGCACGAGGCAAACGGAAAATTATTTATGGCATGCAAAATTGCCGGCCATAATAATGCATATCACACAGTTGGCCAATAAAATTACAATTGGCTGCTTCGCCAGGAAGACCGTAATTTAGTTTGCCATTGCAATTCAATTAAGACGTTAATTGGCCCTGAGAAGCCGAAAAGACAGTCGCCAGTCGAATTGGCCCAAACACAACAAGCTCCGGGGGAAATGGGCGATTTCCTTTCTGGCCAAAATCAGGAGCCGAACGAAGCCAAATCAAGTGGCAAAACTTTGCTAACTAGCTGAATGTGTGGGTGTGTGTGTGTGTGTGTTGGTGTGTTTCTGTGGTTTATTTAGCATAGAATTTGCCTGTGCAGTCGGAAAAATACGGGGGAGAAAATGGGCTCAAGGACCTGCAGGAGCCCACTCATGTGCATGCCTAATGAAGCCATCCATTTCGTGTGGAATTGATGAACAAGCAGCAACGTCTTCTCTATGGCAAAATTCTGGAACAGGCAACCAACTTTTCTGTCTGCTGAAGGACTAAAGGGATGACGGCTGGTCATGTACGGACACAGAAATCAATTAAGTTAATTTCCGCACGTTGCGTGAACAAGGGATTACGCCGAACATGGGAGTCGATAAACCTTCGTCGACACATCTACAACGACATCGACTTCCAATCCACAACAACAACAACAAGAACATGATGTGCATAGAGGGCGCAAACTTTGACAAAGATTCTTGGACGCGGACATGGACAAGGATAAGGACAAGGACGACTGGCAAGTCGCATCAAAGTCGAAAAGTTTAATTGGCTTGACGACACTTTGCTAGAGCACGCTCCAAATCAATTGACTGACAAAACAGGGATGTCACACAAATCAATTTCAACTTAATTTCGAGGACATATAGATATTCAAGTCGATTTTGGCAAGATATTTAATTAAATATTCTTTATCTTTATATATGTATATATAATTTAAAGCAAAGATATTAGGTAAACTCATTCAATATACCATTTTCCTTGCAGATTGGTCTACTGCGTGGTGGAAAAATGCTTGCCGAGGAATCCCCTGATTATCTGCGACAGCAATATAATGCCGATTCTCTAGAGGATGTTTTCCTAAAGCTCTCTGTTTTGCAAAACATGGGTAAACGCCGACGATCGTCGATAGCTCAGGAAATTGTGGAACAAGTCACGGTGCCGGCTATTTCCAATCCGGCTTTGGACATGTCTGACGAACAGCATGCCGCTGAAATTTCCGGCGAGTTCGGCGATAATATTTCTATGTCCTCGGCGGCCAGGGATCCGATCAGTACTACCGCCCCAGCAGCTCCGCCATTGCCACCACCCCAGGAAACTCCCACATCCTTTTGGTACAATCTCCATGTGATGCAGTCTCATCACCTACACGCCCTTATATGGAAAAACTTCTTGTGGATGATGCGTAACGTGGGGTAAGTTAATACTTATTCATAGATTTAGGAAATTTTGGATACTTATTGCTAGACATCAAGGGCAATTATCTTTTGAGTGGTGGTTGGTTTTCATCTAAACGAAGCTCGTACCACTCACGTTACACAGTCATAAGCTATGATTACTAGTGCACATCAATTGTTAACCGACTTTGGCTGACTTTTCCGCAGGGTGATGCTGTTCATCGTGGGCCTGCCCGTGGTCCAGATACTGCTCTTCTGCTATGCCATCGGCCATGATCCAACTGGCCTCAAATTGGCCGTAGCGAATCACGAGATGTCGGGGGAAATGATTATGGAACAATTCTGTCCAGTGCACACCGGATGCAATCAGACGATGCTGAGCTGCCGTTATCTCGATATGCTGGTCAAGAACAAGAGCATGGTTGTGGTGAGTGCAATGCAAATTACCTACTCGACTTCACCATTTCGCCCTCCCTTTTCACAATCCCCTCGAGAGTAGAAGGACATTGGCAGATGGGGTTGAAAATCAGGCTGTTTCGGAGGTGAGGCAGTGGCATGTGCAGATGCAGATGCAACTCCCAGCCCGGGGGTACAATATCAGCTGTCATTGGCTTTTTGGTTAAATTGTGCAGTGCGAACTTTACAATAACCACTCATGTGGCTTATATTCAGGGCCCCAGTTCCCAATACGTACGCCCTGCTGGCCGCTCCTGTAATTTATTTCAATTTGTGTGGACAGCCAAGTGGGTCCCCCTGTTGGGTCCAAGTAGAGGCTGATGCTGCCGGGTCTTCAATCTACTGCACACATCATTTCGCCCTGCCGCACTCCTAAATCACCTCCTCCATATACTTGGCTTTGTCTTCGCCTAAGCAGTGCTGTTTACTTGGCTATTTTATAGTTAACAAACAGTTAACTAGCTAGTTTGGAAGAATGAATATAAGATCAAGAAATGAGAGAGAATTTGTGGAAACAAGTAACGCCATTCCGGACTATATATTTTTTCTTTTTAATAAAAAATTTCTAATCAAAATACGATTTGGCTTGGATTATTCCTTAGCATAATTCGTCAGCACTGCCCTAAGACCTCCTCCTTCTTCGATGCAAAATGAAGAGGATGCTGCCATTGGCCCTGCCTCCGATTTGGCCGTTGCCCTTGGTGTTGGCGAACACAAATTACAGCTGCTTATCTTTGGCACAGCAACAACAGGCCGAGTCGACTGTCGGCCAGTCGGTCGAGATCATCAATAAATTTACTGCCCTGCCATGGGCGGCGATGGCCAGAAATAGTGGGCCCGAACAGAACAGAACAGGCCAGAGCAGAATTACTGAGGCCAAGGAAAGCCGCTTGTGGCAATTTATTGCAAATTACGCTTCAAAAACAAAGTCGCTTTTGTTGCCTAATTTGAGTTTCGTTTCGGTTCGAGGACTCGAAGTCCTGGCTTACGATTTCATGCATTTTACATTAGACACTATAATAAGCGTAATAACAGTAAAGTAGCGCCGAGAGTGTGGGTATTTTTACGATTAGTTTGCAGAGCATTCATGCAAAATTGAAACTTATTAGCAGGTCGGTTGTAAAGTTCTTGTTAGAAGGTTATTCTTCTGCTCAACCATTTCCACGAATCCATTCGGACAATCAATTGCGTTCCGCTGAAAGACAATAAAACAAAATCAGCATCGAGATCTCAATGTCCTATCAAATTATCCCGCCAACAGACCGTGACCTCCTAAACTTTTTAAAATTTTCAAATAACAATATAATAAAGACCGAAATAATAAGGCCAGCGACCAACCGCATGCCTCAACTGGCAATTTGCGAGGAAAACTTTTTACCTTTGGAAATTGAAAAGCATCCCCAACCGCCGGCTATCTGACTAAATTTGTATAACTTCGGACAAAAATAAGAGAAAACTGAAGGGAAAATAATACGCGACCGTGTATCTCTAGGCCGCATCAAAAGACCCGAAACGAAAGGAAAAGAAGGAGACGAGGCCAAGTTAATTTTGGTCAATGAACAGCATATCAACGTGCCATCAGCACTTGGCCAAAAACCCTGCCCCAGCTCACCTTCTCACAGTCCTGGCGAGGATGGTAAAGCTTCAGGCACACCTCGAGGGAGGGTCAAAAAAATTTGAATATCGACGGCAAAAGCGTTTTCTGTTTTTCAATACCACTTTTCCCTACCACCTAGACCGGGCTGAGTTGGGGTATGATATTTTTATCTAAAAGACTTGGAAATTAGTAGAGCGACAGGTTCCTTGCACAGCTGTTGAGCCTAATTAAAACTGAATTACTTTTTTGAAATTTCGCTTTTAAAAATTTAAAGAAATTACCTTTTGTAAATAATCTTATAAATAACTGATGAGTGGCGAACTAAAATAGAAAATTCATTAAAATTTGTATGTTTTTTAAAGTATCAATCAGTCAACTCGTCTATTAAAACTTCTGCTGGAGACTTTCAGTGCTTTGTTTTTTGTTTTTTTTTGCCAAGCAAAAAGCGGAGTAAAAATGAAAAAAAAACGAAATTCTCGATGTCCCAAACATTGTTTTCGACTTTTTGCCTTGTGGTTATGTGTTTAGCAGATCAAAGGCATTTTGTTCACCCTTGTCTTAAAGGCACAAGAATTGTCCTTTGTTTTACGGGACAACCTCGACATTTTCAGGAGGCAGCTCCCTGAATGGTGGCAGAAATAATTTTACAAACTTACCCCAGGGCTGAATACCCCTTAATTTATGGGAAAATTGAAAAACATATTGTGGTCAGCCGATGTCGTTGGCTGTTTTCGTTGCTTCTAATTAAAAGTTCATTAAGCATGACAATGTTGCTCATTAGTGCTAAGGAGAATCTGGCCAATTTCATGCTATTCGGTGCAGCAGAAAATCTAAGAACCTCTAATGGGGGAAGTTATACATACGAGTATATAGACTATTATATATAATGATTTTATTAAAAACCAGTAGAATGGGTGCTAAAGTTAATTTTTTAATTCTAGATAAAAAAGGTTTTTATGTAATTTTACTGCAATCCCTTTTTTACTACGCTTCTGATGGCACTTGATTAGCGACAAGCTTTTACTTGAAGAAAGTGCTCGAAAGTGCTTCATTGGTTCTCTTTTTTATCCAACAGCCAGAAAGATTTTATGAGGCAAGTTAAGGGAAAGTCGAAACAAAAATTGCCAAGGTAGCTGGGGAAAGTTTTTCTCCAAGCTCCTTTCGAGCTCATTTGCGTCGAGCTTCTGACCAAGTTGACTTCATTTGCGCATAGTTTGTGGCTCAAGTTTGTCATAAACAATGTTGAAGTTGGGGGTTAAATAGTAGCATAAAAGTTGTTCAGAAGCAGCAATTTGATTGTCTGTAGCCATGGCTTTTCACATTATAATTTATTCCAGGTCTCTAGTGCAAGGCTCGACCCAAAATCTTTGCTTCAGGTGTTCTGCTGAGAATTCAAATCCATTTCGGGCAACATAGTTTTGGCCAAAACACTCAAATGTACACACATCCCTTTCGGGGCCATCAAATCTAATGAGGCCAATTAAACCGCACACTCTTGTTTTGGCCCCGAAATCGGAGAGCGTGTGTGTGTGTGTGTGGATGTGTGGCATTAAGTCGGCAATTGCGTAAATTTCACGCCTGTTTGCGAGGCGTCTGTCCTTATGCCATTTTCGTTTAAATAACTGCAGATCGAAGCCGCAAAATTGCCTGAACTAAGCCCAAACACAAATGCCAATACACGCAGCTCGGTTTTTGTGGCCAGACCCTTGGCTGTGATTCCAGTGGTTGTTGTAGGACATAAGTGACTGGCGAAAAGTTTAGGCAAAAGTTTTACGCCCTCCAGTTCAATGGCAAAACCTAATAAATGTGTGAGCACTTGCCGGAACTAGCTCAAGATTCTGGGTTCTGCTCTACTTTCAGTTCATTATTTATTTCACAGTGGAATGAAATTGTTGCAGATAACACAAACATATTGTTGACAACAAGGGTCCGCCAAAAAGTAGGCAACGAAACGCAGCGCAACGTAACGAAAACGCCTCTCCTTTGTTGTTGATTTGTTTGCCTCGCTGAATTTATCGCCTGGCGCAAAGTACGCACATTAATTACAGGGAGTTACTTTTATTGTTGCTCCAGAACAGAACACAACAGTACACAGCTGAACACTGAGCTGAACAGAACGCCCCACATGCAGCAAACAATGCGACAGGAAATGAAGCGGGACGCACAAAGAGACAGCTCACAAAGCTGCCAAGAAAGGAAGTGCCGTGGGCAGGCAAAGGCACCCCCCGAATACCCCCAAATCCTGACTGCGATGGGGAGCCCTGGAATCGCGACATGCGTTACTCAATAATTCAACGGCTCCGATTTTAATTGCACAGCAACGGCGAAAACAATACCCAGCCGTTTGGCATCTGTCTGGCAGGTGCAATGACTTTTTAAGCTAATTGAATGAGCATTTGATTGACTGCTGGCATTTACCGACTTGGTCCCTTCTCCCAAAAAGCTAAGATTTCTGGATGGTCGATTCTAAAATAAAATTATTTTACTTTTTATTTTGGCATTTTATCAATATATTTCTATTTATTTTTTTGTAGAAATATGTAACTGATGATGAAATGGCCTATGAAGAGGTGAGAAAAGGTAGAGCCTGGGCCGCCTTAGTGATCCAACCTAACTACACCGCCTCACTAATGGAACGAGTAGAAGATGGTCGTTATGCTGAAGACGGTACACTTGAGTCATCCGATCTGGCAGTACGAATGGACTGGTCTAGTAAGTATACAAATTATATACAAATTAGTGAAATTAAAATATTCAAATCTTTTTCATAGATCAACAAATCTCACAATTGCTGTACCGCGATCTCCAGTACACATTCTTCAACTTTGTGGGCGACATGCTGAGCGACTGTGATGTTAATCCAAAACTGGGACGTGTGCCTGTGGACTTCCAGCAGCCCGTCTATGGGTATCGCAATCCCAACTTCACGGACTTTGCTGCCCCCGGAGTTATCCTAACCATTATTTTTTTCTTGGCCGTGGCTGTTACCTCTGGAGCTATGTTGATTGACCGTAATGAGGGAATGTTGGAGCGTTGTTTGGTGGCGGGAATTACGGGTCCGGAGATCCTTCTCTCCCAGGTGGTCACCCAGTTCACGGTGATGCTGAGTCAGACTATCTTCGTCCTAATTGTCAGCTTCTATTTCTTCGAACTCACCTTGGTGGGTAACATTTGGCTAGTGGTGGCCCTTTGCATCCTGAATGGATTGTGCGGCATGAGCTTTGGATTCGTTATTTCCTGTGCTGTAGATACGGAGAGAACCGCCACGTATGTGGCGATGGGTTCCTTCCTTCCCATCGTTATGTTGTGCGGCATCATCTGGCCAATAGAGGGTATGTTCCCGCTCCTGCAGTTCTTCACAGCCTTCCTGCCGCTCACCAAACCAACGGAATCGATGAGATCCATCCTGCAACGTGGCTGGGGGATCGACAATCCCGTTGTCTACAATGGCTTTATCTCGATTTCCTCTTGGGTCCTGGTATTCCTCATACTCACCATCTTACTCCTCAAGTTCAAGAAGGGATAAGTTCAAGTTCTTCTGGGTTTATCAGGCATAGGAAAAATTGTGATGATATATTGGAAGGTTAAATATTGAACTAAAAATCAACATTAAAACAAATTATTGATCCAAAATTATTATGTTTTACATTTGAATAATTGTAGTTTCCTTATATTAAGAACAATTCACATTGTTTAAATTTTCTTAAAAATAAAAACTTGTTAGATTCCAGTCAATGAAAGGTTTAGTGAAAACAACAAACATTGTAGATATACACTCCGATATCACAATTTTTCCTGTGCCCATTTCTTATGATTTTACTAGGTCTTAAGGGTAGACTTACGCTCTCTTAGCCAGTAATTAGTACTTAGTCTTAGCCTTCCTTCACTGGCAATAGGTTCCGGATCACCATTACCACTAAGTATGGAAATTGTTGTGCCTTGTAGAATAAGCCTTCCCCATTTCATAATACCCTTCATGCCCCCCACATTCACCCACAAAACAACATCAAAACATTCTATTTATGTTGTAAGCTTGTGAACGAAAATTCGAAAAGTTTGAATAAATTGATAGAAAAACTTTGCCGAGATTTACCTCAGAAATTATTGCAGAAAGCTTTGCTTTCGGTAATTGTGATTTATTCACATAGGAGGGCTGTCTGTGATTGCTCTGATTGCACTTGGTGAGTCTTGGTGAGCAAACTGGGCGAAATTTCCGGACCGACGACAGGCAAAGTTGCTGCATTGTCGAAGTTGGTGCCAAGTGGTCCTGTGGTCCTTTCAATCAGTCATTGGTTTTGCCAATATTTATTTACCAAGTATCTGCAATCAAAGACCTCAAAAAGAAAGGACCTCAGCCTGGGCCAACGCTCAGAGCCCTTTTCACCCTGGACATTATTCGATGGCCTCCCGATGGGAGATGGAATGTCAGGGGCGTTGTGTCATGGTGGCTCGTCCTCGACACATTTCACATTTTGTGGCAAAATCAATTAAACCGGAAATGCATGTAGACCATGACTGAGTGAGTGGGTGGTTGGGTGAGTGGTTGGTTGGATGGTTCCTTGCCACACGTGCATCGGCGGGTGGGCGGTATCCAGCATCCGCTTAACACGAAAATTCAACTTAACAAGCGAACAAAGTGCCAAGGAAGCGAACGGAAAGTGTTGCTCCCCAGGTGCACTAAGAAAATATATATGGAAACTGTATCATTGCTAAGAACACCTTTTAAAAATGCTTGTTTATATCAGTTAAAGTCCTATGGTTATGGTGACTTTCGTTATTTAACAAATATTTTGGGTACACTTTTTTCAAAAATTGCAAATATTACTTCTCTGAGTGTAACCGATTGGCAATAAAAAAAGCACAGACGCCACACACACACACACAGGGCGACTTATGCTATTAGGTGTTACATATGCATATGTAGGTCAGCCAGCATGGGGCGTGGTTGGAACAACACTAACTGGATCCACATGTCGTCCGGTTCCGTGACTGTCGCTCTCCATCGAATTGCATCGATGCCAAAGTTCAGAGTCGATTTATCCGTTCTATGTCCAGTGGCCCGGAGTCCACTATCCTCGCAAATCAGTCAGACATTGGGCTACCATTACAACTGAAACTCCTAGAAACGTCCAGAATGTCGCCCGATACGTGTGTACTTACAATTAGATAACCGTCAGCAATCGATAACATTTGAAGGCATCACCCACCAGGACATCCGAAGGAGCCACATTTGGCATTATTTTTCTGGCATTCCGCTTTCGAATGGCGGCGGATGGTGTTTGGGATGCCTGGGATTCTTCGCCCATCATTGATTACTCGAGTGTAGCTGACGGCGGCACTCGAGCACACAAATTGGAAAATACAGCAGCCAAGGCGGGGAAGAAATCTCATTTTCATTCTCATTTACTCATCTCCTCCTGCTTGGCGCTCTCCGCTTTCCACTTAATTGAAAGTTCAAAGTTTTCGACTTGCCGCTGAATTAATTTTTCAACTTCATAATTTCACGTGCTTCGCGAAGCTTTAATAACCCCTCGGCCCATTTTCCATTCTACGCTCTCCATTTGCCTTTTGCCATTTTCATCGCCATCTTCAGCCGGCAGCTGGCTTCGATGGCTTTCTTTGTTTGTGGCTGAAGCAATCGGCGCAGTCTTTTCCCGCCACCATCAAATGAATGCCCTTCGCCTCTTCAATGGTGTGTTAATTAATTGCTCAATTAATTTAATGTTCAGAGCTCTCTGAGCTTCTGCAGAAGTCAATTGTCCGTTGTCTACAGTGTTTTGGAATTTTACAAGAAATGTCAACTTACGAACAAAGACCTTTATCCCTTTTTGGTCGGCTGCTTTACTGTTTATCCAGGGTCAACATAATCATGTAAATTAATAGCCCTTCTGGGCAGGTAAACCGAAGAGATTCCATCACACACACTCACTTGAGCCACTGAAGGACCATCCAATCGTCCAGTTGAATTATTGCCCTCTGTTTGGCCAGCTCATTTTTGCATTATTGATGCTCAATAATTAACCATTGGCCAACCGTCGTCAGCCAAGATATCTTCAATTATTCAATCGCAATTAAAACGGGCTTACTTAAGGCACATTGCATATGTCGCTCATATGCACTTTATTATTTTAATGATTGGCATTAATTATTTGCGGTGCATAATGTGCAATTTGTTTGCCACCGGCAAACAGCATCAGTATTGAGAAGCCGTCGAGGCGACCCGCTACATTATCGTTCGGTTTGCTTTGTCTGGCAAATTGTGTAATGAAAATGTCAATCAATTTTCCCATGATTTGCCATTAAAGTGGGTGGGAGTTTTCCGGACACATCTACACCTTGGCACACTCGCACACTCAATGCCAATTGCAAATTGAGTTCATCTGCTGGCGGCAAATATTGACATGACAGACACATTTTTATTTTATTTTATTTGCATTTTTATTTCACTCTTCACCCGCTGGCAAAACCACTCTGGCCCATTTCTGGGTTTTTTTTCTTCTTTTCAATTTTACCCCAGCCTCAACTTGTTGTACGTATATGAGATGGGTGAGTGGGAAAACTCCTTGGCTCTCCTTTCTGCCATGTCCTTCATCTCCTTCGTGTGCTGAGTGTGTATAGTCTGTGTAGGTGGCAAAAATGACATATTAATTTCCAAAGGGGAAACGAAATAATATAAATGGAGTTGTCGCTTCGAGCTTAAGCATGTAAGGCGTCTTGCTCTGGTTCTCCTGGGGAGCAGCACATTCATATGCAAATTGCATGGCGAAATCTAAGTAAATATGATCGGGGAAATCAACACTTTGAGCTCGGCATCCTAGGTAATTGTTTGGGCATTACATTACACAGATGCCGCGTATTAAACCTTGGCGATATTTCGGGATATTTTTGGCGTTTTTGATGAAGTCGTTCGCTGTCAGCGCGCCAGAAACCTCCATCAATCATCCCTCGATTTTCCCACACATATTCGAGTATGTGCAGCACCAAGAAGGAGCGGAAAGGACTCGAATGGCAGGATATGACCGTCAGTCTGTCATTGAGTCAGTTAGTCAGCCAGCCGCCTCTGTCCATACCTCAATTGAAAAGCACTTTGGAAAAGGATAATAACGATAAATTTTTTATTGTAATGTGTCTTGCAGTGTTTACATGCCGGCTGCGCCTTATGGCAGCAGGCGAGGGGAGTTTGAAGAGATTAGTTATAAGAACCTTGTCTTAAACATATATTTTGAGAATGTTTTAAATGAATATTTGAAATATTATTTTGTTTTTAATATAACTTATTAAATTCCTATTATGTTCAGTTGGCTAAAACTTAAAGACCAGATTTTTGTTGGAATTAGAAACCATTCTGGAATTTCATTTATTAATGAATTAATGAATAATACAATATAATATATATTTATAAATACTAAATCAGGCTTATATAATATAAGAACAAGCAATCTTTTAGATGAAAGGAAAGAAACTTGGCTAGAAACCCTCGCTGAGCCATATCAACTGCCAAAATAGCGTGTATTGCCATTATTTTCCAAGCAGGGTCTGATGTCTTCGCCGATGCTATTCCTAGTCCTCCGTTGTCTTGGTGCCCGCCGTTCCACATCCTTTCCCATTCCCTCCCCCTATCATCCCCCTTGATCCTAATATGAGGACAATTTGCAGTCTCTGCCGCTTTCATGCTGTTGCGCGCGCTTACGGGCAACACTTAATCGGCTTCCGGGGATATTTGGGATTTAGGGCGGAAACCTATTTGTGTCAAGACGCAGCCAGCGTTCTGCTCTGCTTATCCACCTCCGTCTTCGTCCTCATTTCCCTGCATTTCCTCCATCGCCCTCCTGCTTTTCATTTTAGGCATTTTCCTTTGGCAACAGCATATTTAGTCTTTTGTTTCGCCACAATTTGAAGCTTGCTTTTTTACTTAGCCATACTTAAAATTTATAACAAAAGAGGATCCATCTTAAAATGAACTACTTAGTTTTTTCCATTTTCTTTGGCGTCGCCATCGTCGTCGGCTTGAGGCAAAAACATTACCACAATGAAGCCAATTCCGTCAACAGGCCGCGGGCTGTTGTGTACATAAATACACATTTCTTTTGGCTTCTGGGATAGTACGTGATAATGGCCAAGGAGCGAATGACACCGAGCCAAAAGTCAGTCATGAGGAATCGACAGGCCCGCTTTTCCCTTCTCACTTCCCTATAAATATGAGTATATTTCTTGTCCTGCCACGCCCTTTTCTCTTGGACTACTAATAACAGCCGCCAGATGCTGGCGGGGACCATTGAAAAATGCTGAGCATTCTGACACATACATATACTCCTATGTTGGTACCATACAGAAGGGATTCCCTTGCTAAGCAGCATCCTAGAACATATATGTACCGACTGGCACTGTATGTGTCTGCCAATTCCCTGCTAATGGCTCTTTTGTGAGCATTCCCACAACTTGGCTCAATGAAATGCCAGCGGCAGTTGTTCCATCCGTCGACTGGTCGCTCATTTTCAGTTATTTCCTTTTAAATATTTATGATTTTCGAAATGCCAGAGAGCCGTTCAGGATCTCGGAGTATTTATACACTCTCGATGAGATGAAAGTTGCTGGACTTCGGCATGGAAAACGATTTATTACAGATTAAAAAGATAAAAAAGCCTAAAAGTATGCAATGTAAATTGGATTGCACTTTCTGGTGGTAAGCGACATACAAATTGTCTTTTTAGCACACCTTATGCATAATAAATTAAATTTCAGTTAATTTCTCGTAAACAACCTACAATTTATCGTTAACTGTTTAAGGACAGGATTTTTTATTTGCATAAATTAAAATAAAATGAAATATATAATAAAGAGACATATGGATGTATTATGTATGGATTACTGATATGCAAATTTGTGTTGTTTGTAGTTTTTCATAATCCATAACCAAGGTAATAAATTTATTAAAGTTAAAAGAAAAAAACGAACAACCCTTAAAACATTCATTAATTTTCACCTCTTCAGAGCATTGAAAATTCTAAAATGAAATATTGCATATCCAAATTATGTGCCTTCACAATTATTATTGATATTTGCCCTGCCATTCCTTGTCGTCAGCG